GTAATTAGCATATCCCCTGCACAAGGATGCCACACATAAATCAAGAAACGGTTCAAATTAAAATAAAAAGTAAAAAATAAAAAATAAAAAGTCCGAGACTATATATATAATTTTATTCTCTCTATCCTGGCCCAGTGCCCAGGAGCCAAGTCCCACTATCGAAAGAAAGCAGTTTTTTGTTTGGAGCACTTTTGCGTGTGCGACATCATTGCCAACCGTCCATCATGTTCAAGATCGATGGCATACGATCGAGAGGAGGTCCAACGTGTGTGTGCAGTAATTTCATTGGCTGCGCATTTTTAAAGAATTTAGTCCTCACAAGGTTTCGGGTTGTCGTTCCTCGCCTATCGTAGGCATGGGGGAAAGGAAAACCGTGCTGGATGTGAGGGTTGTCTGACCCTCTCGATGTTGAAGGGAAAATAATTTTTTAACTGAAGCACGGTAGCCTGTACTTAGTCAATAGGCGTTTGCATAGGGATGTTTCGATTCTGCGACCTGCACAGGATGAGAAGTTACACACACAGGGATAGTGTCAGTGACCCTGTGGAACGAACATGCGACCGCCTGCCAGTTCTACAGTGTGATGGTTTTTGACTGCCATCTCTGTGTCGCCGAAAGTCGGCCACCGAATTTCGGCTGGCCTTGTCACAGGACAGTGCTGTGTCACAGCAACCATACGGCAGCGTGGAGGACGATGTGCGCGTTGGGCTGACATAACCAGTGGTATCTGCCTTCGTGTGTCGTGTGTGTGTGTGTGTGTCTGTGTGTGTGTGTGGCCGAACTAGTGATTCGGCAGTCCTAGGCGCTTGAAGATAATAATCGGACCCCGCCCTCTCTCTCTCTCTCTCTCTCTCTCTCTCTCTCTCTCTCTCTCTCTCTCTCTCTCTCTCTTTCTCTCTCTCTCTCTCGCGCGCGCACGCGCCCTTCATGAGTTTGAATCGTTGTACACACCCATTCAGTGGAGGGACTGGACAGCGCCGCCGCTTCAGATGATGTGCTGTGGAATGTGTCATACCAACTCGCACTATCGCTAATGACGGCAACACCGGCGGGACGGTGCCCGGCTATGCATGAGTGCCCCGTGAAAGCCGTCCTCCAGTGACGGAATATCACGTCAGTCTATGTGTCTATTCAACGGGCAACGGGAAAGTTTGAACTCCGTTGTACCCGTTGAATAGCCTCCGGAGCCCCGTTGAATTCCCGTTGAATGGTACAACGGGCCCTCCCTGTTGAATATTGTTCAACGGAGAGGGTGCATTGGGCCTCGGACACGACGCTGGACGCACGTGAACCGAAAAAAATCGTCCCGTTCAATCCCGTTGAATCCCCGTTGAATCCCCGTTGAATCCCCGTTAAAAAAAAACGGACATCGTCCAAACATTCCGGAAAGAAACTATGTTATGCAGAAAAATAAACTGAACAACTTTTGCCTCAGGGTCACATCGAAAATCTTCACCAAATTAAAAATAAAAAATAAAATATAAAAATAAGTTTTTTTTTTTTTT